AGGGCCTCGGAATGAGAATTCCAGCGAGAGAAATTCAAATTATCGTCCGCAAAAATTATGATGGAGTTAACATTTTGAGCTAACATGAAGTAGAAAGAATATATTGAATCAAATGTGTCGTGCGAAACATTTTTTCCCGCCAGAATCTATCTTACATATTTATCAATCATTCGTCCTTTCTTTAAATATTGCTGCCACATCTGGTCTGGTGCTCCCGATATGTATTTAAAGATTCTTGATAAAATCCAAAGAATAATCTGCAATGTTATCGGTCCTGACCTGGCATCTCGGTTTCTGTCACTTCCCCACAGCGGTTATATAGCTTCCCTGTGCCTTTTCTTTAAATACTTTCATGGTAATTGTTCTAATGAACTTTCCGCTATGATAAATGTTGTTATTTTATTCCCTCACCTTCAGAAACAAATTGTACATATAGGAACTAGTTAAGACTTCATAGAGACTCTGAGGTATTATGATGACTGTAGTAAGAGTGTTAAGTAAGAATGTGTTGTTTTGATGCAAGGAATACTGTGGTATATTTGGGTCAGTAAATGTGGCTACCTAAGTTTAAGATAAGACAGACTGAAGAACTAGCCTTCACCCTTTTGGCCTTGTGCCACATTTTTGTATTACACAAAAATAAATATTACTTTCCACGATGGTATCTATACTTTATGGAGCGCAGTACTAGATTGGCGCCAAGGTCTCATCAATTTGCAGTTGATATGGCAAGATGTAATCGTAAATTATATGTTAACAGTCTCTTCTCTCGCACTTCTGACTTGTGGAACACTCTACCGGTTTCTTACTTCCTAGTCAATTTTAATTTTCAAAAATTTAAATGCAGTGTCAATCGTAATCTGTTTTCTTAATGTCTGTTCTTTTATTGCCCTCTCTCCTTAATTGTTATTTTTCTAATATTAACTAACATTCAGTAACCTCTTGTGTCCTAGTGGTTTTATTATCTTGTTTGGAGTGAAACCATTAAAAAAAATAACCAAACCTTTTCCTTATTTAATCATTTTGTTGGATTTAATCCAGATTTTCATAGCTTTAAATATATATAGTATCCAGTAAAAATAACTTTTACGGGATCCATTGCTCCTTTATATATATATATATATATATGTGTGTGTGTGTGTGTGTATGTATATATATATATATATATATATGATAGAATATGGAACACAAAGGAAGAGTTACTAAATTTAACATGTTTCGCATTTACTTAAGCTTCATCAGAATTTTTGAGAAATGTTTGGAAGATAATATTTAGCTATTTACGTGTCCTTGTTTGTTTTTTAATGTACCGAAGCATTTTTCCCACCAGACATTTAAAAAAAAACTGAAACATTGTTAAACATTTATAAACGTTTTCAACTTGTCCCGTATTCTATAATAACATTCTGTTGGATTTAAACTTTACTTGAATCCAACATATATATATATATATATATATATATATATAGAAGCAATGTATAAAAGTTATTTTTACGGGATGCTCGTATTTGAGTAGACGTTCGATTTATTTTTCAAACGGTATATTCATTTATTTTCGTCTGCTGGCCTGGATATTGAAGAAGTCTTATGAAAGAAACTATGAGTTCTCCGGCAAGATAAAATGGCAAATCTGTCGGATTAATAATGTTTTAAAAAATCCATTAATTCCTTAGAAATTGCTTTGATTACGTTTGGATATGAAACAGCAGGGATTAAAATTTCGAGAGTCAATCACGAGAAGGCTTTTGCTTAAAGACACAGACAGGCGTCGGTTTTTCTTAGCTCAGTCGGTTTGAGCGCGTCGCATCTTAGGTCACTTAAGCTGCTCACGCCGTTGCAGGTTCGAATTCTACCGGTGAGGATATTTTTTTCTTTAGTAAGATTTCTCGAATATTCAGGCCGGTAGAAGAAAATAATTAAACAATTAAACGTTTAATAAATAAATGGAACGTCTACTTAAATATGAGTTTCCACTAAAAATAACGTTTAAAGCGATAAACATTTGTCAGATTAATAAGTTAAAAAACTCCAATACTTCTTTAGACAATTGCTTTGTTTACGTTTGGATACGATACTGTGCCGATATGAAAATTTCGAGGTATCTATGACGAGAAGAATTTCGCTTACTGGCTCTATTCAGCCTTCCTTGATTGGTATATGTCCTTCGTGGCCGAGTCGGCATAAGCACATCGAATCTAAAGGCGGTTTCTGCAACCTATGTTTAGATTACTTTTAAAATGTCGATAAGTTTGTGAAGTGTCATTATCATATTGTATGGGTCTTTTTTAAGATAATCAAAACTCTTCTCCGTGTCCTTATTTTTCACCCAACATTTCCGCAGTTCAGTTCTACCTTCCTTGTCAGGTGTATGGAATAAAGGAATCGGGTTTGCCAAATATTTTTGGGTGGGCTTCATAGTACCTGCCGTACCCAAACCATAAAATAAAAAATAAATAACATTTTAAAGAAAGAAAGCGCTAACAAAGTGTAAAAAGTGTAAAATATGCCTTCTCTTCAACCCTGAAAATGGAAGCTAGCGAATATTACTAACGTCTATCCTTATAAATCCAGCACGTCATGCTCCAAGAAGTAGTAATTTTCCCATATACCAGAGGAGCATCTTGGTCACTGTCCAGATTAGGTTGTCACTAGCTAGCTGTTAAAGTTCGCATTACCTGCTAAGCGTGATTTCTGCTAATTAGGTTAGATATAGGAAAGTTAACCTAATAAAGGGTTTCTCATTTCGACAGTTAGCTGAAATATTATTTTTAAATTATCCAAGCAGCGATGTTCTTGATGCTGAACGTTCAATTTATTCAGTAACGTTGTTGCCTGGATATTTTAACGGTAGGATTTTAGGTTTGCTGCTCAAAAAGAGGTATTATAATTGAAAAAAAAGCAATCCTAGATTGGTTAAAATATTCCGCTAACTCTAAAATTATTCCGAAATTACTATATTTCTGTTTGTCTTAGATTAAATATTCTTTGATAAAATTCCTTCAATGCTTTCTGCTTTCCTCCCGGTTTAAATTCTGGAGTTGTCTGCCCCTCAACTTCAGATGGAGAATAAGTAATTCTTATCTGACTATAGAAATTACCTATATTAATTAATTTTACTTAAACGTGCTCGTTTACACCTTGTAGTAGTAGACGTAGTAGTTTTTAATTTATGTCATGAGGTATTGTCATAATTAACCTTTAGCAAGATTTTTTCATTTGTTTCTGTTTTTACACTCCGTTAAATAAGCAGTATGAATCGAAAACAAAACAGTAGCTTCTGATAAAATGACCCAACAACAGAAATCTATCAGTAGGCGAAATTCAAATAGCTGTATTTTTTATTAACACCTTTTCTCAATACTATATAGCTAGCCGTATATATTTTACTGATTACTTTTGACCAAAACTCCAGTAATTGTTGTGTGCCTTCAATTTCTTTTCGTTTTCTTTCAAACCACTTTAGATCCTTCTCTATCTTCCTGTATCAAAACAGTTATATTCGAGGTTTCATTTAAATGTGAGATTTTCCACTACTAATGACGTTTCTCTTCATACTTCCCAGAATCCTTTCGGATTCCCTCTCGATCAAAAATGCTCTGATCCATTTAACATAAGCTTTATGTTTTCGCTGTACTCAAGTCTTTCCCTGTGTTCCTTCTATAAATATTTTCATGACAATTTTTCCGATGAGCTTTCCTCCTTAGTGTCCCGACTGAATGAATTTAAGCGCGTTACTAGATTGGCAACTAGGTCTCCTCGTTTTAATTTTGAACTAGATTCCGTCACATTTTGAAATTTTCATCCCAACTAGAAACAGATTCGAACATATTTTCTCTTAAGTCGAACGTCCTTACAGAAAATCATTTCAAATCGAGATAGCATTTACAACCTTAGTCTCGCTTTGGAACTAATCTTATATCAAATATCTTTTTTTGATAAATTTTCAGAAAGCCTCAGAAACTAATTGTAATGGAAATTTCCATTCTGGTGTGAAATTGCCTGATTAATTCCAAATTAACAATAAAAGTTTTCGGAAGAAAATCGTTTAGGAGTTATCGGCAATATAAGTTCGTTCTTATCCGCGTCTGGCCCGGCTACTATTACTGGCCTTGTTTACATGCGTTTACCTCGATAAGTAATGCGCGGAAGCTTACTTAGTTAACGGCCTTTTTACTTATCTTCTTACTCGTCTGGATGACTGCGCAATTCGCGAAATTTAATTTAAAGTTTGCGCATGGCGCAGTAATCAAGAAAAGTGAAGCTTCCGCGCATCAGTATCGAGGCAAACGTATGTAAAGAAAGCCAGTAATGGCGCCGGGCTATAGCCGCGACGCGAATGAGGCCGAACTTATATTGTCGATAACTCCTAAACGGTTTTCTTCCGCAAACATTTATTGTTATTTTCTAAATAAGCATGCAAATTTACACTAGAATGGGAATTTTCATTACAATTGGTTTTCGGGCTTAAATCTGCAAATTTACCCTTTATATATATATATATATATATATATATATATATATATATATATATATATATATTAAAGTTCACACACTACAAGTCTCGAATGTCATTCAGAACGTTATTGTTGAAATAGTCACGATGAATGATGTGGGTTATATTAATGAAAAAAGAGGTGAAAATTATCAGAACTACAGGAATAGTTACAGATTGGCCCATGACTTGAAGAGGTTACGATTAATGTGTTCAGGGAAGCACCCATGCTTCCGTTCAACGAAGTAGCAGTTCTTGGGGCAAAAAACAGAGGGAGAGGGGCTTTCACTCTGCATGTGAAACTCGGAAGAAATTAGAATGATACGACTCCTTGGAAGTGGCATAGCGTGCCAATGTAGTCAGTCAGTCAATTATGTGCCATGCGTGATACACGCTTAGGCGATCACGTATCTTTCGATACATGACCGACGAGGTAGCTTTTTTTCCCGCAGTGGGTTGCCATTTCCTTCTGCAGTAGACCAGTTGCCATCCAAGGCTATAGAACCCG